TTCATGACATTTTAATTTCAAAATGCCTTGACAACAATGGCTAAACTTTAGAAAAGTTACTTTAGTTTCCAAAGCACATAAAATACGGTTGTTCCACTTTCAGGGCTTAAAAACTCTTTAGTTAGTGTGGAGTCAAAGACAGTACCAGCTAGCCTTCAGTCAGGGCTTTTGGTCACAGTGACCGAGAGCACCATTTTCTACAGCTCAGCCATCATCTTCTTCAGCGAAGAAAAATACACAAAGTCTGAAGACATTTGCAGACTCAGCTCCCTGAGAAAGTTGTGAAACCCTCCTCAACATTTCGAATTAGTTTGGCCCTCCACCTTGAATATATTTATTCTATTTTGTGCTGAAAAATTAAGAAACTTATTAGGTCCTTATTTAAAAATCCTTAAAATTCTCCTTTGGAGGATATTGATCTGGAAATAGAAATGAAAACTGCAAATGAAGCACACAACGATACACGTTTACGTGTTTCCTGTTCTCATTTATTCCTTACATGCATGTGTAGTAACAATTATAAATGTGCAAGCTAGGGAGCTAGCACCTGGCCTTCAATTTCAGACACTTGAACATGTTAGCTATTTTTAAAAAGCCATCTTAAGAACTCTGGCTGCATTCTGCTTGTATAATAGAATTCTTACAGTCATGGTAGACAAGCATTTTTAGAATAGCAAAGACTCCCTCGGAGAAGTCACAGAAATAAGATGTAACATGCAGGTACTTGGATTGGTAAATAAAATAGAACCCGTGATACCTAAATCATTTGAGTATGTGCAAAGCGTTAGTGAGGAGGATCATGGTCGTCAAAGTGTTCATTTATTGTGCAAAGGGCAAGAGATACAGGATTGGGGAGATGGCTCAGCAGCTCAGCGCACTTGTTTTTGCAGAGGATCTGGGTTTATTTCCCAGTATCCACGTGGTGTCCCACAACCATTCATAAACTGCAGTTTCTGGACTGCTACACTCTTCTGACTTCCAATGGCACTTGGCAACTTCCACACTCTCCACATGTGTACATGCCACCCAAACACTCATACACACAAAATAAAATAAATAAATCTAGACATAAACAAAAAATCCTGAGATATGGGGAAACCCTTATGTAGGTTAACCTTAAATGTATTTGTATGTATGAGCCTATGTAGAAATATTATACAAATTGATAGAAGTGTGCCACTACTAGCTTCTCAAAGAATAGAGATGAGAAATTCTAACCTAATATATCCACATGCTTACAGTACTACCAGTAAAATAACAATATTTTATCATTTCAATTTCATTTTATTTCAGCACATATAAACATGAATGCTATAACATTTGAAGTTATTAAATTTTAGTATAAATGAAAACTAGTTTGCTAATTAGGTTGAACTGAAGTTTTAGTTTCCAGTAGAAGTCAAGGAGCTTGTTCAAATCCAGATACTATTACCATAACTTAAAATTAGTTTTCGGTTTTGAGTATAAAACTTTAAATTATACAAAAAGTAAAGAAAATAACAGAAATCCTTACAACCACCATTCATATTCAAAGTATCATTACTTGCTTCTCTTTTAAAAAAAGGAATGTTAAAAATTATCTGTCTTTTCAGAAGTTACAAGCTTTCAAAGGTGTAGACCTGTTTATTCTGAAACTATTTTACTGTATGTTCATGAATTTACTACATGTTTATGTATCTAGGTATTTTCATTGTATATATTTATTTGTTTATTACTTATAACTAAAATGTATTCATTTGTGTGTGTCTGTGTGTGTGTGTGCCTGAGAGAGAGAAAGAGAGAGAGAGAGAGAGAGAGAGAGAGAGAGAGAGAGAGAGAGAGAGAGGGAGGGAGGGAGGGAGGGAGGGAGGGAGTGAGTTGGACTTGTGCAGATCTTAGTGTTTGTGCAGAGGTCAGCTCTGGGACACTGTTTCGTCCCATGAGGCAGGATTTTTCTTGTTTCTGGGCTGGGTTGCCTCTAGGATAGCTGAAGTATGAGCTTCCAGGGGACTTGCCTGGTTTTGTCTGCCAACTCATTGTAGATGTGCTCTCCATGAAAGTTCTTTCTGTTTGTTTGTTTTTCAAGACAGGGTTTCTCTGTGTAGCCCTAGCTGTCCTGGAACTCATTCTGTAGGCCAGGCTGGACTTGAATTCATGGAGATCCAGCTGCCTCTGCCTCCTGAGTGCTGGGATTAAAGGTGTGTGCCGCCGCCGCCGCCGCCGCCGCCGCCGCCCGCCGCCACCACCAGGGAGTTTTTCCACGTTGTCACATTCAAACTATTTATTGTAGATGAAATGAACATATATTTGTTCCTTTGATGAGTCATTTTAGATGTTAATGTGAATAAATAGATAGAAATACAGCAACATATTTTAAAACCACCCAAAAGACCTCCGAGGCTACAGTACATTTTAGTTCACTCCTATCACTACTGATTACGTGAAGGCATTGCTGGATGAAAATTTATTCTGTTCTATTCTAGCAGCTCAGGATGCAGCAGGAAACAAAACAGAGGAAGCTTGGTTTTGGGTCGCTTCTCGGGGCCTGTGTCCACCAGGACAGTGCATAGATATCATTAACTCGGGTAAAGGAGTGTCTTAGGAAGCAGCAGGGACAGATTCTGAAACTGCACAATAGGACCCCTTATCTGTTCCTTATCATTAACTAAGATGACAGGGACTGACTTTCGTCATCAACCACGGCATCTGCCTCAGCCCTATGTTACCTCAGTACATGGTGGTGGGTATGGTGCCTTGCCAGGTGTGGTCTCTCTGGAGATGTGAACTACCTTATCTACGGTCATAATTTCTTTTTCTTTTTCAGTTTGATGACCCCAAATAGAACTATCGTTATTCTAACCAGCCTGTTGTCTCTCGGGAAGGTCAGATGCTTTGGCCATCGACTAAACACTAAGAATCCGTAAAAAACGCACCTCACCTGGTGCTCAGAACTACTGTCTGAAGGATGGACAATAGTTTTCAGTGGTGATGGGTCCTAAACAGGGTCTGCTAGTCTTTCATTGAGTATAAACAACTGCTATTTCCCAGTGTGTACCATCATCTTCTAATGTGGCTAAACCACCAGGAAGCTAGGCCCATATATTTAGGGAAAGTTGTGTGAGGAAGGTTCCATTGACTTATTAATTTTGCTTTGTGTGGCAGAGTCCAAGATAGCAAGGCATCCAAAAGGTGATTGTTACATTTCTCATGTGAAGTCAAAAGATTTTTTATACTTTGAAAGTTCAATACATTTATGTAATAAATAATGATCCTGTTCCTCTACCAATACCTCCCTCTTCCTAGTGCTCCCGTCTCATCTCCTCACCAACTTCCCTTCCCTTTTTTCTTTCTTTCCTTTTTAAAATCATTTATTTATTTATTTTTTAGGCATCTCATTATGTGGCCCTTACTAGGCTGGAATTTACTTTGCAGACCAGGTTGGCCTCGAAATAATAGAGATTCACTTGCCTCTGTTTCCAAAGCAATGGAATTACGTTTTCATATCTTCTTTTTAAGAAAATTTTATTAATACCCCCCGAGTCCAGTTAATGCTGCCTTATGCGTGTGGGTGTGTAGTCATCCACTGGGGCATGAACAACCTACCGGTGTCCATGTTCCAAAGGAGAGTGACCCCTTACCTACGCTCTAGCATTCCACAGCTCTTTCAGTATGGGTGGGACTCTGGGGCTCCTTGATGATCTATTCTGGAGTTTTGATGGTTTTATCTTGTTCAGGTTTGGTGCAGGTAAGAGCATGTCATGTCTAGAAGTCAGCATCTCTCAGCTCTCTTCCCTTTTGTTGGCTCTTATGCTCCTTCTGCTCCCCTTTCCCACTCGCTAGGCATCTGTTCTCCTAACTGAACAATATCTCCAGTGCACAGATTTCAAATGCTAATCTCGATGGTATCATGTTTCTATTTTACTATTGGTCACATCCTGTAAACGACACCATGAAAATTTAAGACGTTTCTTTTTCTTTCAGAGATAATTTCTTATTCATTGAATCTGGTATTTGACAATTTCCCACGTGTATGTAATGGTGATTGACCACTCTTACCACCTGTTCTTGCCTATCTCCCCACTACTTCTTCCATACAAATTCCTTTTCCTCACTCCTGTCTGTTTGTTTTGTTTTGAGACTCACTGAGTTTAACCAGGGTTATCTAAGTGACCTTGGTTCGGAGTTATCTGTTGGTGTGTGGTGAGATCAGAAGGGAGTATACAACTGGATACAAGATTTCCCTGCTTCCAGAAACTATCAATAAGCAATAGTTATCGATAAGGAGTATTGCTCTGTGAGCCTTTGCCCCTTCCATGACTAGCTGTTGTAGGGTATGTCTTGTGTGGGTCCAGGGCAGGTAACCACAGTGGTTGTAGTTCATGATTGCAATGGTTGTTATCAAGTTAAGAGATTTCTCTTCTCTTTTCTTCCCTCCCCCCTCTTTTTGTTTTTTGAGACAGGGTCTCTTTACATAACCCTGGCTGTCATGGAACTCACTATGTAGACCAGGCTGGTCTCACTCACAGAGATCTGCCTTCCTCTGCCTCCCAAGCACTGGGATTAAAGTCTTGCACCACCATGCCTGGAAAGTTAAGATACTTCTTAATGCACAATTAAGGATGGTTAGTCACTAAAGATTTGAGACCTTGCTACATGATACAAATAGAGCACAAGGCTAGAGACTAATGTAGAGACTAATGTAATCTTTGATACTTTAGAATAAAATGACTGGGCTGTCTCTTTTTGTGTGGGATAGAAATAGAGGCAGTTATAAAGAGAGAAAAACACTATTCCAGGGGTAGACGTGGGCTAGTGAGCTGGGAAAGAGCTGAACAAAAGCCTAATTAGAAGGATCTTTATGAGACCCCTTGAATGCCTTTTCTGCACACATACACCTTTTCATTCTCTTTTTATCATGAAGAAGCACCGGGAGTCATGTGAGTCATTTTTTGATGTTGCTCAGAAAAAATAGAATATTAATCTGAGGATCTTGTAATTTAGGCTCAAACACTTATTTGCAGAATGAAGGTTTCTTCATATCTTCTGGCCGGCACCACACAGTACTTGCTTGCTTGGGTGTACAGAGCCATGAGGTGATGATGGACCATGGAGGAGCAAAATTCAAGGTAGGAAATCTTTTGCTCATATTTTGCTTTCTGAGACAGGAAAACACATCCACCTAAATCAAAACACCTTTCCTACTATTTCTGTATCATTCCGACTCATGAACGGGAGATATGCACATTACGTGTGTGTGAACACTTAGTATTAGTTAGCACTATACGTGCACTTATTTAAATGCTTAAGAACAGAGATGTTAATAATTTCTAAAAATACTGTAGGTCATAATTTAAAAAAACACTTAAAAGACTTAGATGTGAACTCCCTGCTAACGCATATCTTCCTCCCCGTTGGTCGTGTGTACTCTCCCCCCGAAACTCATGCATTCATGAAATTCCACTCGTAGTCCCACAGTACTTAAGCAGAGAGATCTTGTACTTGATTTCACTAAAGTGAAATTCACTTAATATGCACCTGAGCCCGTTATTTTCATTTGTGCTGTCCTCTATGTGACCCTCATGGATAGGTAGACAAATGACCAATTTTGTAAGAAAGTGGTTTTAATATAACTGGCCTCAATGACTGTCACTTTTGGTATTGCATGTGTCAAAGCTTTACTTAATGTCCCCAGAAAGAAAAATAAGTGGCTCTTTTTTTCTTTTATAATCTATAGGCAAAAGACAAGCATTCCGACTCTCTTATTCTCTGTTTTGAAGTTTAACATCATGTTGCATGGAACTGATAAGAATGTGGTTTAAGAACTTCAACTGCACAGTATTCAAAACTCATTCATTGCCCTGGAGTAATAATAACATCACCGTTGAAGTAGCTGATTTATTTGATGTGAGTCATGGCATGACACAGTCAGTCTCAATGTAACTGTACTAATTCACCTATGCTATTTTAGTGTTTGACTGGGAGTGAACTGAAGTAATTTTCTTTATCTATGGTAAAATAATAAACAATGTTGCATCGGAGTATTTCCAAAGCATTTAAGAAAACTAGTGCTTTATTGAGAATTTTCTTTTCATTGATGAACAGGACTTGTGTAAAGAGTTTTGGTACATTTCTATAATTCATATAATGTATTATGATCACAACTACCCTGTTTATTACTCTTTCTTACATTCTTCTCTCTACATTCTTTGTAATTCCCCTTTTAATTTCTTGCCACTCTTCTTTCTTTTTCCTTAACTTATGCATGTGAGGGAGGACATGTGCTGCTTTTCAGGGGATGTGGAGGAGGCTTGTGGTGGCTTTTTTCACCTACGGTGATGATCTCCATTCATCCATTTGCCACCAAGTGGTATAATTCCTTATTTTAATTTTATGAACTTTATTATTAAAAACTTGAAAATAAATAATACCTTCACATACCCAAATTAACCTGACTCAAAGTTTATACAACTCAGTAAACTTCTATACAGTTCTAGAATTGGTGTTTGAAATGGATGCTATGGAGCCTCACACTAAAATTTACATCTTCAGTATGAATATATTTTATGCACTTATCCATTACTTCTTCATGAATGCCTAAAACTCCACCATGAGCCTAGACTTAAATCAAGGAAGCTGCTAACTATAACAAAGTGAACTCCTTCTTTTAATTTGAATCTATGTTCAATGGAAGAATAATGATTAATGTATTGAAGCAAGTTCTAGTAACTTCAGCAGAAATCCCTTTTGAGTATGAGTCTCTACTTATTTCATATGGCATTCTAAATTGGAGCGCTTTCTGCATATATGCTTCTGAAATTATTTTCTAAATTTTGTTCTTTATGAGAATGCGTGTTTGGTCAGCATGTATGTCTGTGTACCACATGTATGCCTGGTGCCCACAGAGGCCAGATGAGACAGAGCCCCCTCTTTCAATTGTGAAGTTACATGATTGAAAGCCATCATGTGGGTGCTGGGACTCAAATCCAGGTCATCTAGAAAAGCAACCAGTGCTCTTAACTAATGAGCCATCTCTCCAGCCCTTTCATGTATATATGTACGCATGTGGGCTTATTGAGACAGGGTTTCTCTGTCTAACCACCCTGGCTGTCCTGGAACTCACTGTGTATGTAGACCAGGCTGGCCTCGAACTCACAGAGATTCTCCTGCCTTTGTATCCCAAGTGTTGAGACTAAAGGCCTGTGACACCACCACACAGCTCACATATATTTTTAACTAAGGAAAGTCATAGAGACAAATGCAGAAATTTTAAATGTTCAATTAAGTAAGTGAGAAAGTTTCTTTGTGCCCTTTCTGCCAATTCCCATCTCCACAGACATCAATGCTCTGATGTTTATGAATATAGATTGACTTTGTCTGCACAGGCATAATGCTCTGATGTCTATGAACACAGACTAGTTTTATCTGCTCTTGAGCTCATACAAATTGAACAATGAAGCATATTCTCACAGTCTCTGAATCCCATTCACTCACTCAACATAGTTCTTATGAGAACTGAGTGGCTTTTAGTAATTATAATCACAATTAGCACCCTACTTAGTTATATTCTGACATATGTAACTAGTCATATATAAATTTTAAATTCTAGATTCTACTTTTGCATATAAATTTCTACTTTTGAGAAACTGTAAAACAGAAGCACAAGAAAACATGTCTCTCATCTTTTGAATCTACATTTCAACAGTAACAACTTCTTTTAGCATTCATAAAACTGTTATTAAAGACAAGAAAAACCTGGGCTTTAATAAATGAGATGAAGTCTGAGGTTTGTGAAGTATGTTAAAGTAGACCTTGTAGAGGACATACTATTAGGGAGATGAAATCATTTTTAGGAATCATTTTTTAATGATCCCACTCAAAACAAATACATTCATCAGATAATGATTTCAGGGAAGAGAAGGCAGATATATTATTAATTTATTGTTTGTAGAATTCGGAAGTAAATAAAGTGTCTTTTGATTTGGTCAAGTAAGTTCTTTAATACGTTTTAAAGGTCAAAACTGTCCACACAAAGTGCAGACACCAGGATGGAACATGCGGAGGACAGGTCAATGTGTAGGAACAAAACACAATTTCGAGCCTTCTAAACTTACCTTGGAAATGTAATGGATGAATTGCGAAGTATCAGACAGTAACATCATTTCCCTACTATTTTAGCTTGATGATAAGGACACAGAAGTTGGAGAAGATGACATATTCTTTTTTGTCAATATTGTTATTAAGAAATATTCTATTTTTTTACATACCCAGCAAAAACCCCTCCCCTCCCTCCTCCCACTCCCCAGCCTTTCCCCACAACCCCCCCCCCCTTCCCACCTCCTCCAAGGCAAGGCCTCTCATGGGGATTCAGCAGAGCCTGATACACTCAGCTGAGGCAGGTCCAAGCCCCTCCTCCCTACACCAAGGCTGTGTAAGGTGTTCCACCATAGGCAGTGGGCTCCAAAAAGTCAGTTCATATACCTGGGGTGGGTCCTGATCCCACTGTCAGGGGGGCCCCTTAAGCAGATCAACTACACAACTGTCTCGCCTATGCAGAGGGCCTAGTCCAGTTCCATGGAGGCTCCACAGCTATTGGTCCACAGTCCATGAGTTCCCACCAGTTTGGTTTGGTTGGAAGATGACATATTCTGAATGCTCAAATACTAGAGCTGAATGTGTCACCGACGGGAACAGGTTACACTGGCAGCGAAAACAGCAGCTGTAAGTTCCAAGAAACCTTGCTAAGGCCTTATATTTTAAATTCTTAATATTATGTATCTAGATAGGATTCATAGACTCTTGAGTAGTGGGAGTAATTAAACCTCATAGGATGAGTTCCGAGTCTAGGTTTTAAAACTGCAGATAGGTGATTGGGAAATGTCAAAGAAAATACTTGTGAGTTAATCAGGAGACTGGTTAGTGGAGGTTCTTGGGCCAGCTAGTGTAGTTAGTAAAGAATCAAACTCCCACTTTTAAGGGTGGGGTCCAGTCACTCTCAGATGACATCCGAAGCCTTTCCTTTCATCTTTTGAGATTCTAGGAGGCAAGCGAGCCACTCTGAGCCTTGCTCCAACCATAGCATCTACCAAAGCCCTTTCCAGTGTGAGCGCTTTCACTGGATTGTGTAGTTTGTGGCTTTGGGGAAGGCTTTTTTTCTCCCTGAAATTGGAAGCCTTTCTTCAAAATAAGTAGTATGTTCACATAGTTAAAAAATAAAAACTACGGGCTGGAGAGATGGCTCAGCGGTTAAGAGCACTGGTTGTTCTTCCAGAGGTCCTGAGTTCAATTCCCAGCAACCACATGGTGGCTCACAGCCATCTGTAATGGGATCTGGTGCCCTCTTCTGGCCTTCAGGGATATGTGCAGACAGAACACTGTATACATAATAAATAAATAAATCTTTAAAAAAAATAAAAAAAATAAATAAAAACTACACTTAACAGTGTACATCATCAATCTTTCTCTTCATTCATTCTTTTCTTTACCTCCACCTTTCCACTTTGGTAACTACTGTACGGCCTTTTTGTGTATCTTTCTTTCTTCTTTATTTAGTAGCTTCCTCTTCCTTTTCTTATCTAAAATTCAGCATACTCTATACACTGCTTCATCATTGAAGAAAAAATCTGCTGAGCATGGTAGTGCACATCTTTAATTTCACCACTTGGGATGCAGAGACAGGAGGATCTCTGAGTTTGAGGCCAGCCTAGTCTACAAGCAAGTTCCAGGACAGAAAGAAAGACAGAAGAAAAAAAAATCTAGCAATGTGTTCTGGTAATTTTTTCATATCAACACATAGAAGACCCCCCTCCCCACCACATTGCAGAGTATTCCATCACATAGATATATCACAATTTACCTCAGCACTCCTTTACAGACAAGCCCCTCTCCTATACTCTAGTCAAAATTAGTACACACTCAAACTTTAGGATACAAAGTGGTTTGCATATGCAAGCCGAATCTTATTTGTAAATGGCAAAACTCACAGGATACGTCTAGGGATGTTTGTATGTGTGATGCATTTAGCATCATCAGCAGGAAGCTTTAATACCTATGCAGCATGACTTTCTCCATGAGCAGAAGTAGGTTTTGAACATTAATATAGCGGGGCCACACCAAATGGTCTTTGGAGAATAAATTCGGTATCCCAAAGGACATAAAAAAAGAGCACACTGTAGTCGTGATCATAGGAAAACTCAGTCTACTTTCACCAGTCTTCTATGGGGTGTGACGGAACAATATACAATATAGAGATTCTGACCTTTTTAGTGAGCAACTCCCATAATGATCTTCCTTGAGCTTCAGAGTTAGCCACATGAGGCGGTGATCGACCCCGTGAGGCACAGAAAACCAATGTTTAAAGAGAATAAATAACTTGAAGTATTACTTCACTCATCAGGAGCAAAGTTGGACTGATTTTCAATCAGAAGATAGAAATACTGCATGATGTAACTTCCTATCCTAACTAGGGAAATTCAGGTCAGGTCCATCACAGGGAAAAGAGTGGGTACATGTTGGTATCTGCCACCCATCAGCTTCTCTTCGGCTTTCCCAGGTTGCCCCTGCTGCTGCAACTCCAAGGACAGACTTATTTTCTTTTTGTGGAAGGGAGGTCCACACAGGGGAGATGACAAGGGCCCTGTGCCACCCACTGGCTTTGTAGTGTTGGAACTGGGGCTCTCCTAGTTACTCTCTCTTTAACCTGGGATGGTCCCACTGCTCCTCAGTGTTATCCCACTCAGTCTGGTATTTGCACTAAAGGTTATCATCCTTTCCATTTGGCCAAGAACAAAAGCTGGCGGCTAGGAGTGGTCATATCAGGGAAGCAGGTTCTTCTTTAGTCTGTTAGTCAAGTCTGGGGATGTGAGCGAACGGACGATGACCTGGCCTGGGCCGCATCAAATCCAGAA